AGTTTTTTTTTTGAGGGAAAAAAGAGAGGCTCCGAAAAATACTTGCAAAAGTGGTAGGAATTTGGGGGAATTCAAGGACATGGTGTGTAGGATGGTGGACAGGGGGAGGGGCCATGCTGGAGTAGGAAATTCTGAAGATGGTCGTGTCCTGCTAAAGTTTCCTCCAACGGCATGACCTGCCTTGAAAACGACTACTTGGAGGCCACAACACCGAGAAATGGAGTCTCGTTCGCTGTGGACGAAGGGGCGTGTCAGGCGAGAATAGTTTGGCGCGGTGCCAGACCCGTTTTACGCCAGTCGAAGGGAGCAAGTGGCGAGGCTTTATCGCATCGCGTCACTCGTTTTCCTCGCATACCCGCTTCAACAACTGGCAGAGAACGGGTTTGGCGCCGTGGCACACTATACTGCGCAACACGCCCCTTAATCCGTAGCCAACTAGAGTGTAAGCCGAATGAAATCAGTGGAAGATCTTGGTTCTTGCTACAGCACTGCATCAGAGAAAACCTCAAAATGCCAAGATTTACAGAAAAGAAATATGAGAATTTGGTGGAAGAATGTGTGCTGAATTTCAGCACAACCCACGACCGTACATACAGGGCGCCCCGGCCCCCCCCCCGCCCACTCTCTACTATGTCCCCCATACGTCAGGCACCAACAGCAGCACAACAACAACAACAACAACGCCAACACAAACAATCAAACCAACAGCATGCCAAAATTCCGGTTTTTTTTCAAGCTTCACATTTCGGTAACAATTACTCGAACTCGAACTATGCCATGTTGCCGGGATACGGTAGTCAACAGTCAGTGCAAACGAATAGCAGTAACTATCAGAGATATCAGCCAGGTACGCTTAACGTCCAGCGCTCTTGAGCATTATTTAGACCACCTTGCAATTTGTAGTTCGGCTTTAAAATGCCTAATCAATCAAGTAATTTTTTAGCGACAGCTGTTCGAACATCAGCCTTTGCACCGGTATCATCGGCTGGTGCGCCTGTAGTTGGTGTGGAGCCAAATCGACATTTCAGATCAGTATCGGCGTCTGACCTTTACCAAAGCGATGTGAGCGATTAAAGATGCTCAGTGCAACTTTTTTCTTCTAATTGGTAACTGAAGTCGAAAAAGATAAGCTACGGGTATAGAAAAGAACGATTTTGGGCCAGAGAGGGTGAATGGAGAGGGGGGGGGTTTGTTTTGTTACCTCTTATGTTCTGTGTTTCTAAAGTGTTTAAGTAATGGTTATTTTAGCCGAATGCCTCCTACTCCCAACGGTCAGTGGCTGGATCCACTACTGGTGTTAGTGGGTTCGATCGACTTCCTTCACATTATCGACACTCAAATAGACCAACGGTTATTCAGCCAGGTGGGTAGCCTTGGTCTGCTAAATTTTTGGGCGCAGTTGGGCTTAGTGGAGAGCAACAGGTACTTCGCAAAACCTGTACGGGCCACCTTGTGAAAACCTGTAAATTCTTGTAACCGAAGCGGCTCACTTGCACTTGAATTAGCTGAAGGAACTAGCGGAAGCGCAATATGTCCCCCCAAGCCAAACAGCACCAGTTTTTCCGTCTTTGTCTGCTCTACTGATTTCTTCGTAAAGGCTTTAGTTTCGTGAGTATTCATTTACTGAAAATCG